TCAGTCTGACCCGCTGCGCCCCCTGCTGGACCGCAGTGGGCGTCTCCATAGCAACCGCATTCAGGAAATGCAGCGGGTGGATTCTAACTGCACCGCCTGGGGGAGGAGCCACCAGAACCCGGGGGAACCGGCTCCTCTTACCAGTCCTGGCTCTCGATCCAGTGGCTCAGCTGGTTCCGGATCTCTGTGGGGAACCGGCCGTCGTACAGCTGCCTGACCCGGTTCTGCAGCGCCGAGTCCAGCTTCAACAACTCCTGCCACTGGGCCATCTGCACAGAACCACAACAGAACCGCCTGAGGAACCGGCTTTGACCCGGTTCTCATGTCTCAGGTGGGAAACCCGATAAGTTTTCCTTCCACTGAACTTTCCTTACATATCTATGGGTTAAAGTATATCCATAAAAACCTCCAGAGTTTCACATGGAGCAGAACTTTTCAGATCACGTTGTGGTTTGTAGTTTGAGTCTGTGAACGTTTCAGATGTTCAAAGATTCTCGGTTCTGATCCGGGAAACGTTCAGTCAGCTTCTGATTCTGATTCAATAAGCCCTAAAGAATCGGATGCGCTCTGTGTTTTCATGGGTCACTACGCAAAAAAACAAAAACAGGAGTGAACCTTAAACTGGAGGAAGGAAAAAAGGGTCCAGGCAGCAGCAGCGGTACGGAAGCCTGAATGGTTCATGCTCGCTCCGGAGGACGCCGGTAAACCGTGACCCGTTTACCGGTTCACTGTTGATACCGGCACAGATATCAATTTATTTCTATTTTCTTGTAATATTTTCGGACACGAGTTAATAATCTACCTTTAAATTATTAAAGTTAAACTTTATGACAAATGTTTTCTTCAAATTCAGCTTGGAAACAGCTGACATTAGTCAGAAAACTAACATATGCAATAAACACGTAAAGACTAAAACAAACTGTGTTTGTGCGGATCTGAGGTTGAGTTTCTCACCGTGAATCTTCAGAGTTTCTCCGGTAGAAGCAGGAAGCGGAATCAGAGCCGATCTGCAGGAGGCCGAGCGGCAGCAGCGGCTTTTATTCCGCGGAAACTCCCTCCGGACCGGCTGATTCTCGGGAAACGGCTCAGCCAGAGGCGTCAAGTTCAGCCGTTCATCGGGTCACACTTCCGCCGTCAGCAGCTTTTCATATTAAAGGTTTTTATTTTTAAAGAAAGGAGCCGCTTCAAAAACACTTTAGACTTTGAAACGATCAAAGAGCTGCGAACAACTTTACATTAAATACTCTTATTATGCTAATCATAGGCGCCGGACATGTAAATGTGATAAACAAAAAATAACAGCAATAACACTCAGTGGTATTTTCAACATGTTATTAACGGTTTGTAAGCTTTATTCGTTACTTAATAAACTTATTCAAGTCATTTATAAGTGTCTTGACATAGCTTAATTAACAAGCTATTATTTAGCTTGCTAACTGAATATTTAACTTGGTAAATATTTAAATGAGGGTGAAATATTAAGTAAATATTAGTAAATATTTAGTGTGGTGGTAAATATTTAACTAGGCTAAAATCCTAAATTGGTAAAATACTTAGCTTACTAACCAAATATTTAGTTTCAAGTTAAATATTTATCTTGCTAACTACTTAGCTTGGTAACTAAATATTTAGATGGATTTGTGTCTCAGACACAAAGTATAAAAATGAAAAGTCAAGACGAGCAAGGAGAAGAACCTGGACAGCCTCCCGTAGAACTGCTTTGTGTTTCCGCCTGTATCCTGGTGTAATGTGTGTGAGCTTCATGCAGCATCTGTAATCCAGTGTTTACAGTATATTTACACATATTTATATGAATATATCAAGTCAGGGATGGGAACCAGAAACCTACGACAGCATCAGGGCCAGATGGAAAACAAAAAGATGAGCACATTTCAGCCAAAAATCTCAGAGATTGATCTCAGAAAATTTCTAGTAAAACAAACACGGACATTTCTGAGTTTGAATAGTCAAAAAATCTCAGAAATTTTAATCTCAAATTTTCTTTTGAAACTCAAAAAAATTGCACAAGCGAACATTTTTGTGTTTTTTAATTTAAAAAAAAATCCTGATTTTCTTTCTAGAAAAAATTTGATTAATTTCCAAACTTTTTGTCATGATGGGTTTGACGGATTTTACCCACATGCAGGAACACCAAAGAGACGGATGTAAAAAAAAAAAATGAAAAGTTTTATTACAGCAAGCATAGGCGTAGGGAGCGGGGGGGACGGGGGGGACATGTCCCCCCCAATGACAGACTCTTTCCTACGCCCTTGACAGCAAGCAACACTTAAAGGAAAGCTGGTCCAGAAAACTGCTCGGCTGATCTGGGTGCACTGAGGAGATAAGAGAAACGAGGTGAGTTCAGGTGACTGGGAAACGGGAGGCTGCGAATGAGAATAAGTAAACTTACTGGCTCAGAGCGTTTTAACGGCTTGGAGGGGGGTTGGTAGGTCCTGGAGTTCTTTCTAACTTATGGATTTGCTTCTCCGTGGAGCTTGGCGGTTCGGTAGGTGGCATTGGAGGGCGGACAGGGAGGCTTGTCCTTGTAAGCAGCTGAGTCTAGGTGGAACGGCCGGTCGGAGACTTCTGAATGGCAGGCAGAATCTTACAGAAACTGGTGAGGTCTGGCTTTCAGGCATCTATGGGGTAAGATCCCATGACGTCGTTGGAGAACCAGTGGTCAGGCAACCAGATGAGGAAGGATCCTGAGGGGAGCAAAAACCCGCAATGAAGCACAACACAAAAAACAGGCAGATCTAAAAAAACTCGGAGCAAAACTCTGAGGGGCTGGAGGATCCATCTAAGGTTGACACTCTGGCGTCGAAGTACCGGCGTTCCACCTTCTTGCTGCCGTCAATTAGATGATCAGCCTCCGGTGAGAGGATGACATCATCCATGAAACCCCAGCCCGCCATCTCTCGGACTCCATCTAGTGGGGAGATAACTCAGCAACCAAAGGACCACCTAAAAAAAAAACCCAGAACCTAACACTTTTTAGTTTTTGGCAGAAATATATCTTAAGCTCTCGTAGTTTATATGCATCTGTTTGTAAAAATAATATTTACATATTTAACTGCACATATTTTCCATTCAGCTTCATTAATGTTCAAATTCAAGAACAGAATTGACTATTTTTGCAATTAAATATTTTGGTTACCAATACTAGTATAGCCAGATTCCATTCCTTAGCTGCCTAGTGTTGCTAAAAAGCTTCAAACCCAAAAACTTAAATGAATGTCTTCTATGCTTATCAGTAAGCATAAATATATTTTTTAATCCACATTCCAGCTCAGGTTAAGATTATTTACTAGGTTTATTGATGAAATTCTGATTTCCACTTAATGAATCGGGTGCAGTTCACACTCCAACCACTAGATGGTGAAAAAGTACATCTAACTGCTGCAGGAAGAAAGCAGAGATTCTACCTGATACAGTAACTGTTACTGTAACTGTAAGTGTTACTGTAACTGTTTCTTTCATTCAGAGAGTCTGACTCGAGGCCTGAAGGCAGAAACTGAACTCAGCATGTAACGGCTGAGATCTTTCAGCAAGGATGGCTTCAGTTTACTGATGATCCGTTTACTGAACAGTTCTGTAACAGAGCTTTGTTCAACTCCTAAGATCTTATTACTAGCATGTATTATTCTGCTGAGGGCATTTTGACCTAATGCTAAGATTTCTAAACCAACAAAGGAGAGAAAACGTCAATATATGATCTATAAAATATGATCATCTTTGACTTATCACCCTGAAACTTTGCGATCTTTCTTAGACAAAACAATCTTTGGCCCTTTTTTGCAGCTTCTCTGAATGGCAGATAAATTTTAACTTATTATCTGAAACGGTCCCAAGATGTTTATAGTTTTCTACTGTCTGACCTTTCATTACTGTTTGATTTATGTTGTGGAGCTTCTGTCTAGAATAAATGCAGGTCCTTTGTTTTCTGTAAAGTTTTATCACACCAGTCAACAAATTCATCGACCACAGAGTCATGCTCATCATCAGGCTAACTATCACCAAACCATCTACAGATTTTAATACTAACCTGTTGTCACCCATCTGCATACCACATGCAGCCGGGCAGACAGCGACGTCTCTACATTCATCCATTCACTCTCACTTTCTGCATTCTGCATGCTCAAACATCCAGAATCCACTTTGGAATGTAAATGTGGATAAGAAGTTTATCAATTAGTTAAGTATTTTGTGTTTAGCTTGCTAATTAAATATTTAGTTTGGAACAGGGACATTTATAAATGTCTGAATGAAATGGTGAAATTATGACTTTGAAGACATAAAAATGTTTTTTTTATTTTATGTCAATTTAAATAACCAGTGTTAACTCCCTTTTCCAAAGTGCTGCTTCCAAGCATATTGCTGTAAAGTTGAGTGGAAGGTAAAAATGTGTACAAACAGCAGGGATTATAGCAACCATGTGAGGTAAAATAAAGCTTATTTAGTGGGAAGAAAATCCAGTAAATATCATTAATTGCTTTGAATAAAATTAGTTTGGCAGTTTTCAGATATTTTAGTGACAGGTTTGCTTCATTCTGTGGAAAGTAGACGTTCAGTGAGAAGTTTCTATGCAAACCAACAGCAGACAAATCCAGAGCAAAATGTTCCTGCTGATTCTTTGTTTTACTCGGATGTTTCCTCATATTTCACTGACTCACCAGCTCTGAGTCATTGTTCTCAGGGAATCACCCAGAATCTGATTTGGTTTCCCTGTCAAACTTTGTGACCTCTGGGATTTCCACAGATTCAGCTAATAATAATAATAATAATAATAATAATAATAATAAGAGTCTCATTTTAAAGTTTTCTCTGGCTCTCCGAGAACCACGTGATTCTCCAGAAACCCTGAACAGCATTTACAGAGAGTCACGGCGAGTCACAACATCCGGTTTCCTCTCCAAAATAAAAACTCCGAACCGGGAACTCTGGCTGCAGTTATTCTTTCTGGCCAGCGGGGGCGCCAGTGAGCGGAGATGACAAGCTGATATGAAGGAAGAAATTTATTTAGAAAAACTTTTTACAGAGAACTTCAGTAATATTGGAGCTCAAATTACAACAACATTAAATAAAAACATAAAGGTGTTTTTGGTTCTTTTAAACATGAAATATTTTTGATATTTATTTCTGAAGAGGTGTAGAAACATCGAGGATTCACTCTGAGTACGGAGAGCTCATCTGGAAACAGAAAGAAAACAACCTTATTCTCAGAGAAATAAAAATACATCATAAAAGACAGAAACACTGAACATGTAAAATAAAAAATATAAATAAGGATTAGGTTTCCTGTCGGGACAGTTTGTAGGAGAAAATGAGATGCATAACCATCACAATATTCATGACAAAAATATTAATGTCAAACTGACGTCCTATATCCAGAATAAATCTTTTATAATATTACTGTTGAGTTTGGAGACAGACTCATAACGTTTGTCCAGGATATACATTTCTTTTCTTTTCAAGAATTTATTCCTTAAACTAAATGTATTTAGATTATGAATCAATGTGAAAGTAATTGTTATGTGTGTATTCTGAAGATCATGTATCTCATTTTCTATTCATTTGATTGTTTTTCACCCCTTTAAGACTTTAAATTACCGTAATGCACCATGTATGAGTTTTAAAGACATATTCTTACATAATAAAATGTTTTGAAAAGCTTCTCAGCTTCATTGCTGTAATCTTATTAAAACCCTGACAGGAACCACAGAGCTTATTATTTATTGATATTATCAGTTATTAACTGATAAATCAGCTTCTTTAAAGTTTTTATGATTTCAGTTTTTAGGACATAAAGAGGAAAAATATTAACTCTGACATATTGGAAGGATAAATAATAGAAATAATAAAATGAATAAATCTTCCACTGAAGCTCTATTAAATTAATTTAAAACTGTACTGTAAAGATAAGACTACATGGACACCAGGGGGCGGTGTGGTGACCTCTGCCGCCCTGGGCCCCCTCTGTTCTGGATAAACCCCTGGAGAAACTCACGGTGTCGATGTCGAAGCACAGGTGCTCACTGAGCATGTCGAACTCTCCGGGCGTCATGGGCGGCTCTGGAGACGGGCAGGAGCGCGGCGTGGAGCTGGCTTCTGATCTGGATCACAGAGCGAGAGACATGTCACTCCAAAGGTCACAAACCGGGTCAGAAACAAGATTCCTCCTCAAACCGGGTCAGAAACAAGATTCCTCCTCAAACCGGGTCAGAAACAAGATTCCTCCTCAAACCGTTACTAACATCGATTTATTTGGAGAGATAAAACGGAGCAAGATCTTCAGCTACAACCACATAGCCTGTAGCTTAGCCGCTAACGTGCAGCTAATGAGAGTTACGACCATTTCTGTGGAGGACTCACCGCAGCTCGGAGATGGGGATCAAAGTTGACGGGATGTACGGATAGACTGAGAACACAGAGAGGTCAAAGGTCAGAGCTGAAGATTCATGGCGACAAAAACATCAATGCTAATGGGCTGTAACACCATGGTATTTAGCATAAGCTAATGCTAAAGCAATATACATAACTCTCATGTGACGTCACACTTCCGAGAACTTTGTAGCCGACAGCCATCTTGGTAGGTATCCATCACTAACTCTCATAACAGTTGCTATAGAGTTGCCATCAGTGATATTTACTGTAGTACTTACTGCCAAACAAGCAAAATTAGCTTAGCTAATATAGCTTTTATCTGCAAGCTGCAGGGGATATGCAGCCTACCAAGATGGCGGTTCTTGTGGGAAAGATGTATTCCCACCTGGTGTTTGGTGGAAGATAATGCTAAAGCACTAATTTCAACCATGTTGATACCAATCATGGTTGAAAGCGCTTTACAATTTACATGAAATAACACTTCTTGGTTGATTTAATGAAGTTGCTTATCTTGTAGCAATGTTGTTCCGTGATGTTGGTTGGTTGTTTATATATTCTGAGAATCAGTTTCCTTGATTTATCAGAAATCCGATCCTCCAAAGTGAAACTGCTCAAGCCACCTCGTACTGCTGGGCTGGTAAAACACTGACTACTTAGAGGTACTCCACCTAACCCCAGTCAAAGCAAGCCTGTATGAACTCAGATGTTAGTGTCTTGCCTTTGCTGGGCTGGCTGTTGTAGAGCCGTCCGAAGGCCTCGTCTTTGGGAATGTCGGGATACAGGAACTTGAGCGGGTTTTCCGGAACGCCGCCGTTTGAGATCACCTTGTAGTCGCGTATGATATCAGCGAACGGGAGCGCGCTCAGCCGGTTCTTAGTGTACGGCTCCACGGAGTTGAACTTTACGTCCCCTGTTGGACAAAGTGACAGTTAATAAGACAAGAGAAGAAGAAAACTGGCAGATAATCAGGAAGTGGAATCACAAATCACTGAGGTGTCTTCAGTTTCTCAGGCGTTTCATTGGACGCTGGCAGCTTATCAGCTATTCTGAGCAAACTTAGCGCTTTAATGTTAATTCTATTAATTAATGTTAGCTTCTACTAATTACTACTGCTATAACAATTAGCTTCCTCAAAATACTATGTTGCTTCATGCATTAGCAGAACTAATTTCAATGACTTGTACTTTATGGTTTAGCTAGCAGTGCTAGCCACTGCTGAAGCTAAGAAAACCAATTCAGGGCCAAGGAAGGTTTGGATGTGAAACCCTGTAACTTTGTGTTTATATGTGTGTGTGTGTGTGTGTGTGTGTGTGTGTGTATGGTGTGTGTAGTGTGTGTGTGTATGGTGTGTGTGTGTATAGGGTGTGTGTGTCTGTGTGTATAAGGTGTGTGTGTAGTGTGTGTGTGTGTGAGTATGGTGTGTGTGTGTGAGTATGGTGTGTGTGTGTGTGTATAAGGTGTGAGTGTATGGTGTGTGTGTGCTGGCCTCTCCGCCCACCGCTGTCGCTGTGCTCCACCCAGGTGAAGGTGATTCCTCCCAGGTGACTCTCGCTGAAGCGCAGCAGGAAGGTTCCAGGCTCGCGGTCCTTCAGCAGAGCGCGTTCCATCTCTTTGCTCACGAAGCCCATGATGAAGCTGCAGACAGAAAATCACCTTCATCACTTCTCCATCTGCCTCCAGGGTTTTACTGTAGGAACTATTGTTCCAGCTGTGAAGCTGCAGCACGTTTTGCTTTGCACCACTTCTCTGTACGGCCTGAACAATGAAGCAAAGCAGAAATAATCTGGGCAGATTACAGGAAACTGCAGTTCCTCAGCTCAGATTAAACTGCCTTTAAAAGCTGCTGCTGTAAAATGAAGACAGAAAACAGTCCCTGCAGCAGCTGATTTCATGAACATCACAGCTATCTGATAAAGGCTTTACACCACTGAGGTTTCTCACTGTTCCAGACACAAACCTCAACGTTTTTATTTGGAGAGAATCCAGGAAATGATTCCTGATTTTCACTATCCTGAACACACCACACCCAGAAAGACGCCTGGTGGTGTCAGCATCATGCTGTGGGAAGCAGGCCAGGTTAAAGTTAAATCCTGACAGGTAAACCTGTTAGAAGGTTAACCTGTCTAGCTGCAGGGCTCAGGTTCACTTATGATGGGATAATTTAGAACATGGGTCAGGATGGCCTAGTCAAAGTCCAGTTCCATCAGGCTCCATCAGGCTCCATTAGGCTCCATTAGGCTCCATTAGGCTCCATCAGGCTCCATCAGGCTCCATTAGGCTCCATCAGGCTCCATCAGGCTCCATCAGGCTCCATTAGGCTCCATTAGGCTCCATTAGGCTCCATCAGGCTCCATCAGGCTCCATCAGGCTCCATCAGGCTCCATTAGGCTCCATCAGGCTCCATCAGGCTCCATCAGGTTGATGGAGGCGTTGGGGACTTACTTCTCGTTCCAGACTGGCAGCAGGTGCTTTTTGATGAGCTCCAGGATGGAATCCAGCCACATCCAGAAACTGAACGGCTTCCCAGGAATGTTCTCCTGTGAAGGACAGAGAGCAGAAGGAGTGACAGAGGGAAGAACAGCAGTCTGAGGTCAGTCTGAGGTCAGTCTGAGGTCGCTGTGAGGTCGTTACCTTAGCAAACTTGGACCAGGAGACTTGATAATCCCCACATGAGGCATGCTGACCTGCAGAAACAGAAAACAGCAGAAATGTCACTTGATTAAAATCTGTCCATATTTTTGTTTTCTCATGCTTAGTAGTTTATTTATTAGTTTGGATGAGCAGAGTGTCGTGTGCATAGAGTGAAATAAAACCAGAGAAACCGATGAGAGCAGAAGCTGTTTGGTGTGACAGAGAGAGTTATCCTCCATCTTTAAACTGTAACTTTTACAAAAAAATATATTTTTACATATTTGTTGAAGCTGCTACCATGTTGTGACAGTTTGTTATGAGACAGAAAATCTGTGAAAAAGTTGAGCTTTTCCTGTTTCTTCCAGTGCTAACTAGAAACAACCAATCAGAGCCCAGAGGCGGGGCTTAGCGCTGTCAATCATCCTCCGTTTGTGAATGCTAAATCTAGTTAGCATAGGGACCAATGACGGTGGATAAACAGTTTTTCTGTAACGGTAAGTTGTTTCTCCACCATTGGCACATTTGAGTACATGAGGATGAGTGGCAGCGCTAAGCCCCGCCTCCTGACTCTGATTTGATGTTGTTGTTGCATTTCCTCAGTTGGTAAAGCAGCTCAGGCAGGCAGGCGCGTACCCAGCAGCTTTTCGCCCAGCATGTCCAGCTGCTCCTTGTTGAGGCCGCGGCCGGCGAAGGTGGAGAACTGCCAGCTGAGAACCTCAGACAGCTGGCTCCAGCTGGCACGGGGCGGGTTCCCGAAAAAGCCCAGGTTCTGTACGGAAACACGAGTCAGCAAAACCAAGCCAACGGCTACGGCAGGCTGGTTTAGCATTAAATTCACCACACTTACATCTCTGACTACATTTTAACATCAGATTTATCACTTAGCTTCAGCTTAAGCCGCCTGCAGTATGTGACTAGCTGGTTAGCGTGTCTGGCTAAAGTTTTGAGCAGCTAATCGTTTCACCCGCGGCTCGTCGGTCAGTAGGTTGTACCACATGACGGAGGCCCAGCCGCCCGGCAGCTGGCTCACGTTGGAGATCACCACCAGCGGCAGCGAACATGTCTGGGGAGAGGAGAGCAGAAATGAGCAACAGCAGCAGCCGGCGCATGGTGATGGAAATGACCTCTGACCTCCAGGTCGACGGCGAGGCCCTGTACAGTGAAGCAGGCCTCGAAGCTCAGCGAGTGGAGCTCCTCCGTCACAGAGAGCAGGCCCTGAAAGACAGCAGCCATCAGATCCAACCGAGTCCAAACTGAGGCCCTGCAGGGACTTTATGTAGCCCTCAACTGCAACCAATCAGAGCCAGGAGGCGGGGCTTAACGCTGCCAGTCATCCTCATGTACTGGCTGCTAAATGTGCTAACGGTGGAGAAACAACATAGTTACATTTAGTGACGATGCTAACTAGTCTTAGCATTCACAACATGCTATGCTAGATCCAGCGTAGTAGAGTTATTGACAGCATTAAGCCCCGCCCCCAGGCTCTGATTGGTTATTTCTAGTTAGCACTGGGAGAAAGCAGAGCAGTTAAATCTTTCAGATAGTTTCAACAAATATGTAATACCAGTGATTCTTGAGAATAGGGACAAAATGGGTTTTAATTTTCCCATATTTTTTTTTTATTATTTCTCAACCTTATGT